ATGTCTACAACGAGATGTGGCAGATCCCAGTGGTCCCTATGCCTAAGGAGAGGCAAGTGGCAGCAAGCATCAGCACCAAGGATGGAGCGGTCGGTAGCGACGATGGCGCGAACGGTCGCGCTAAGGAGAATGAGCTCAAGAAGAGCAAACCTGGAGGGACCAGCAAGTTCAGTGAACCTAAGGAGAGTGGTGCAGCAACCAAGGAGCAGCAAAAGGGTGAGGAGAACCCAGAGGCAGCAGCGGAGGAGGACTACGGAGAGAGTATGTGGGGCGCTATTGCGAGCGCGGCATTCTCCAATCCAACTTCGGCTACGGGGGAGTGTGATTGGCTCACCTTGCATCGGCGCATGGGGCATGTGGCCCTGCCCATCTTGCAGCAGCTAGTGAAGAATGAGATGGTTGCTGGCATACGTGTGAAGGGGGAGCCCGATGAGGTGCTTGGCTGCCCGACGTGCATTCAAGCCAAGTTCACCCGGTTTCCGTTCCCTAGTTCGGAGGCAACGGCAAAGGCACCGCTTGATGAGGTGGTGATGGACGTGGTGGGCCCCCTGAAGCTTGGAGCTGCTGGAGCTGAGTATTTTCTCACCATTGTCGACGTCTACACCCGCATGACTTGGGTGTACGTGCTGGCCAAGAAGAGCGACGTGGCTGAAACGTTGAAGACGGATTGGTTCCCGATGGTGGAGCGGCAACAAGACCGTCTAGTCAAGTCAATCCGCACCGATCGAGGGGGAGAGTTCCTGAGCAAGGAGTTTGGGTTGTGGCTGAAGAAGAATGGTATTCGGCACTCCCTCACCATGCCATACTCCCCTGCAATGAACGGCATCGCCGAGCGAGCAAACCGCACAATCACGGAGGCGGCACGCGGGTTGCTCATTGAAGCCGGGCTACCCGACTATTTCTGGCCTGATGCGGTGCGGAGCGCGTGTGTGGCCAAGAACAGAGCCTTGACTCATGTGGGAGCAGACAAATGGGTGCCCTATGTGGAGTGGCTAGGAAGGAAGCCAAAGGTGGATATGCTTCGGGTGTTCGGGTGCATGTGCATGGCGCTCGTGCCTAAGCATCTTCGGCACAACAAGCTTGGTGCCAAGGCGGTGTGGGCCGTGCACTTGGGCATGGCTCAAAACAGCAAGGGATGGCTTCTTTGGGACCCATTCACCAAGAAGTTCTTGGTGAGCAGGGACGCAAGTTCATGGAGAACTTCATGTACAAGGATTGGAAGGCGGAGAATGAGGCGAAGATAGGCGTGCGGTTTGGGGAGGTGAAGAGTTCCGGTTTGGAGCATGTGGAGCTGCCTTTGGAGCTGAGCAGCGGCAGCACAACCACAAGGCAATCCTCCCTTGTGAATGGGGGAGAGGAGGCCAATGATGCAGAGGAAGAAGAGGAGGAGGTGCAGCAAGTGAGCGAGCGTGCACCGTCACTCCCTTCCCGTACTACGAGTGCTCCACGGATTCGAGCCACACCGCAGCAACGCCAAGGCCTTCAAGTCCCTGCAGCTGAGGAGGAAGGAAGGGGGAAGAGGAGAGTTCAACCCCCTAATAGGCTGACCTATGATGCGCCGGGAAAGCAGGGCAAGACAGCCCTGGCCGGAGCGGCAATAATGGTCGGAGACGACGAGGAGAGTGACTACGAGGAGTGTGCCTTCGTGTTCTTCTCTCCGGTGGAGATGCCGGGAGAACCAGCAACTCTCAAGGAGGCTTTGGAGAGTAGTGATGCTGAGGAGTGGAAGAAGGCCATGGAGAGTGAGCTGAAGAGCATCGAGGAGAATGACACGTTTGAATTGGTGGAGCTACCGGAGGGGCGTACGGCGATAACGTCCAAGTGGCTCTTCAAAATCAAGTCGGATGCCGACGGCAAGATCGAGCGCTACAAGTCTAGGCTTGTAGCCAAGGGGTACCAGCAGAAGGAGAAGGTGGACTTCAAGGAGCTGTTTGCCCCTGTGGTTAAGCCGACGATGCTGCGAACCCTATTCGCGGGAGCCGCCATCAAAGGATGGGTAGTAAAGCAAATGGACATCGTAACGGCATTCCTTAACGGCATCCTTGAGGAGGAGATTTTTATGGCGCAGCCAGAGGGTTTTGATGATGGTAGTGGCAGAGTGTGGAAGCTGAAGAAGGCCCTCTATGGGCTGAAGCAGGCCCCTAGGCAATGGTACATGAAGCTGCGCGAAGTGTTGGAGGGGATCGGCTTCACTCCCTCAACGGCCGATCACTCCTTGTTCATGCTTGGCGAGGGGGAGCAGAGGAGTTTCATGGTGGTTTATGTGGATGACATCCTCATTTTCTCACCCTCTTCTGACCTTGTGAAGGAGGTGATGCTGAAGCTTCAAGACAAGTTCAAGTGCAAGGCCCTTGGTGACGTGAGCTTCTACCTTGGGCTCCACATCGAACGAGATGTGGAGAAGCGGTGCATGCGGGTGCATCAACGAAAGTACCTGGAGGCATTGGCTGCCAACTCTGGGCAGAGTGAAGGCCATGTGGCTACACCCTTTCCCTCTGGGTTCAAGTGTGTGAAGGGACTAGAGGAGGAGAGCGTTGGTGAAGAGGAGAGGCGCCGATTTCACTCGTTGGTGGGCAGCCTCATGTATGCGGCGGTAAACACCCGACCGGACGTCGCGTTTGCTACCGGGCAGCTGGCTAGGGTTGTGCAATGCCCTAATGAGGAGCAGGTAGCAGCTGGAATGAGGGTGGCCAAGTATCTTGGCCAAACACCGACCGTTGGGCTGCAATACTCGGCGGCGGCACAAAGGCGCCAAAAGGGCGCGGATGGTGTTGAACCCGGGCGTTTGTTCCTCACCGCCTACTCGGATGCTTCATATGCATCAGAACCAGAGGACATGACAAGTGTGGGAGGCTTCATATGCTGTGTTGGTGGAGGCCCAACTGCTTGGGAGAGCAAGAAGCAGGTTGACCAAGCTTTGAGCTCGGTGGAGTCCGAGTACATGGCACTCTTTCGTGCCGTACGGGAGATTGTGTGGCAGCGGCGTTTGTTGGCTGAATTGGGGGAGGAGCAGCAAGGACCTACCCCACTGTACTGTGACAGCCAGGGTGCCATTGCTCTTGCTAAGAACCCTGTGTTGCATGGACTCACGAAGCACATGAGGGTGAAGTGGCATTGGACGAGGAGCATGGTAACCGCGGGTGAAGTTGAGTTGCGCTACGTGAAGACCACGGGGCAGCCGGCTGACATGATGACCAAGAGGCTGGTGGAGCAGCAGCATTGGAAGTGTTGCAAGCTGGCTGGGATGGCTCTGAACTGAGAGAGCAACATATCCTAAGGCCAACAATCCGAGGGGGAGTTTGTTGGTGCAACCCTACGGTTTGCACTCGGCTTGTTGTCCGTGTGCGTGAATGTGTGTGTGTATGGAATGGTATGAGGGCATGGGATAATATATATTTCATGCTTATAATTGTGTGTGAATGTTGAGTCATGATGTCGAGTGTGTGTGTCGAGTCAATAGCGAGTTATCGCTAGACGCGTGTTACGCGGTCGTTTGTGTCTCGCGCGCGGTTTCTATTTTGTCGTGCGCGGTTTCTATTTTGTCCTGTGTCGAACGTTCGGCGTGTCGCAGGTGTGTGCAGCAGACCCATCAAGAACTCAAGGATGAGTTTGTGATAAAGAGCCCGAGCCTTGGTGTCAAGCCTCAAGTGATTTCGAAGCTCGCCAAAAGGGTACACCTCAAGATATTGAAGATAGTTACATTACTTTGTGTAGTGTAACATTTCACTTGGTGTAGGCCCTAGTGAAGGGTAGTTTCGAGACCCTTCGTGGTTGGGGACAGTGTGGCACTGTTCCACATCACTGTACCTCGGCTCTTGGGGTTTGTAGGAGCTGGGAGTCATTCCCAACTCGTAACTCTTCCTATCTTGTGTTCTAAGACTATAGTGGCTGCCATAGTACCGTTCGTTCAAACCGATGCTGTGTCGTCAATTCTTTATAAAATCGTGCAATCTAAATTGCTAATTGTAGACGACTTGAAGACGCTCCAGATCCAATTTGAATCAAGTCATTTGCAGCTGTGAGCAGAACGCTATCAATGTTTGAAGCCGCTGTGCAGAAATCCGTCTGTGCTCTCTATCTTTCGTTTTAGGCACATTCAAGCCTATTGTGACTATAACATTGAGCACCAAATGAAGCTCAAGCCCGACTACCTCCCCCAGCCAGAGTGCCCCTTCCAAAGGCTGCCGAGCCGCTCCTCTACGAGAAATCTCCTTGTAGAGGACAGCCCATGACAGCCCTCACGCTGCCATCGTGCTACCAGCAGCGTTATGGAAGCATCCATGCGCCGCTGGCAGCATCATTAAAATGTTACACAGTTCATAAAATGTTTTCCATTTATAAGACTTATAAGACACCCTAAACCGTCCCAAATACAAGACAACCCAAGCATTTTTCCTAGTGTATAAGATAAGACATATATGTCTTATATCCGGGCGATGACGGTAGGCTGAAAATCAGGAAAATCAAGGAAAAAACCCTGATATCTGAGGGAAAGTTTGAATAAGACAAATTCTGGTGGTATGGTACTCGTTCATTTGATTACACCTAGCAAGTCCTGTGGTGCTAACTTACCATCTGTTGCAAGCCTTCTGCATTACCATGCCATGGGGGGCAGTAAGGTTCAATTATGGCATGCGTCCTGTGTTAGTTTGTAAGTGATATATTACATGTGGCAGGCAAGTCGCAACAGGGGAATTGGAAAGAGTGCAAGAACGTAAACAAGTATACGCCCACCAACAGAGTGGGGGTCCTGAATCAGCGACCCTGACCTGACCGAACAACAGCAATCTTGTGACACAAGTTTGTCAAGAGACCCTCAACATGTGAGGTGAGGAGCCAGAGGAGAATCCAGGAGTTGACTTCTGTGAAGAGTTACTGGCAGGGCTCAAGCATTACAGGTTCTGCTTGGACGGAGGAAAGGGGGGAGAGTAAGACGGAAGAGACATGAGGAAGCAGGGGGGTGGGAAGGGAGGACGTCAGGACAATCCAAACGACAGAAGTCACGCCAAGGGAAGGCGCAGGGGAGCATGAGGGAGAAGAGGAGTGTAATAAAAAGCAGCCTGCTCCCACTGCTCCCCCCCAACTCCGCACCAGCTCCTCACCCTCATATCCTCTTCTCTCACCTGGATGAGCAACCGGTCACCAGCTGCCACCCACTCGTGGGCACCACGGTCCCAATCGGCTTGCTACAGTCGCAAAACGCCAACAAAGCCGCCCACCGCGATCCGACCACGCCCGTTTCCATATACAGGTTGGCCCCATCAACCCTGGCGCCGTTCGCCTGGAAGGAGGTTGACGCGCAGAAGCGCACAGCAGCATCAGTGTTTGTTCTCGAGGCTGCGGCGTAGACGGCGCCGCCTGCGCCAGAGGTGACGCTGTTGACAGTGTAGGATTTGGTGCCGCTGGCAATGCTGTTGGATAGGGTGGTTTTGACGAAAGTGAGGGCGGCGTCTTTGGAGTAAACGGCTCCCCCAGATACGCCTGAAAGTGTGGAGGGGAGGATGGAGTGCGGGTTGGAGGGATGGATACGCCAAAGAGAGCGAGTGCTGTTGGAACACACAACAGGCTCCACATGCAAACATATCGAGATGACTTTGGAAAGACTCGAAAGGCCATGCAAACACACACGCACACACGCACGCACACACCCACATGCAAACACAGAACCATGCAAACACATGCATGTGTGCGCACACACGCACGCACGCACATTCGCACACTCACCAGTGCTGTTCCTATCAAAGAGACAAGAGTCAAACCGCAGCCTGGCCGTCCCCGCCACCCTAACCGCCCCGCCCACATGGTTGGGCGCGCTGTTGGCCGTGAAGGTACAGCGCAGGAAGGTGAGAGCCGGCACACGGTCAGTGAGGCCGAAGGCATCGAAGGTGGTGGCGTCGATGTTGACGGCGCCACCCCCCATGGCTGCTGTGTTGTTGAAGAAAATGCAGAATGTGAAGAGACGCTTGGGAGGTGCGTCCATTATTGTGAAGTTGTCACTGGTGGGTTGGGGGGATGTGCACGGGGGCGGGCATCAATGAACGATTCTCTGGAAGGTGCAGCGCGAGAAGAGACGGTGGAGTGTGGTGGCTGTCGCAGGGAAGGAGCTCGCACCACACACACTCGCACCTCACGCACTCTCAAATGCACCATGCACACACACTCTCACATGAGTGTCACACAGTCAATCGGGCACCCCTCTCAATCTCTCATCCCACCAACACTCCTCTCCCCTACCTGAGCACCCCTCCCACGTTGCGGATGAATTCGCACTGACTCGCATTGATTGGCGCCAGCACCTTGGAGAAGACGCCTTCTCGAAGCCGAGGTTCACGAGAGTCAGCATTCCCGCTGTGGAGCCCGAGGAGGAGGAGGAGGTGAATATGGTGAAGGCGCCACCCCCGCTGATGATGCACTTGACGGTGCTGGAGAAAGGGGGGGGAAGAGGTAGCATATAAAATTGGTGATGAGTCGTGGTGTATGCGATGTGATATTCGATGCGGTACCGATTGACCGTTCCAGGGATGAGTTGGCATGATGAGATGGAAAGCGCACACGTGGCGAGACATAAAACGTGCAGACGTGGCATTGATGGGGAACTTACGCCGTGAGCTCCACGTGGGATGTGCGAACGAGCTTTGTGGTAGCCGCGTCTGCTCCTCCCTGTATTCACACCACGCCACGCACAACGCACACACGCGGCAAAAATGTTCATATGTCGAAATTCAGCCATCCGCATCAAAATCCGTCCTCTAAGTTCAACAAGGGGAGCTCTCCTTGCTGCCAGCGAGTTTTACACAGCCAGTGTGACGTTGCCCATCTCCACATGGCATGTGTCGTTGCCCATCTCCACATGGCATGTGTCGTAGCCCATCTCCACATGGCATGTGTCGTTGCCCATCTCCACATGGCATGTGTCGTAGCCCATCTCCACATGGCATGTGTCGTTGCCCATCTCCACATGGCATGTGTCGTTGCCCATCTCCACATGGCATTCCCCACGCCCCGCCACGGCATGTGTAGAAACACGTACGCAATGGTACTACATGTGCGAGAATCAACAGTTGCGATACTATCGACGTGATACCAACGGTGTGAAACCATCCATGTGAAAATACACGGATGTAGACATGTGTAGGTTACCGTGTGGGTGTCATGCCTACCTTGTTGGCCTGCTTGATGAGGTGACTTTTGAATCGACTCAAAAGTCACCTTGCCTACCTCATTGGCCTGGTTGATGGCTTCTTCCAGCGTCATCGCCGCGACAGTCGCGGGACCGCAGATTATCCCGATGAGTACTAGCGACGCGACGAGGAGGGTGGTGTGCTGGCAGCGAGCTGTGATTGGTTCCCTCAGGGAACGAGCCATCCTGAGACTGATGACGAATGCTAGTGTGGATTGGAGAGAGTGGCAGACAATCAGCTCCGAGTTTCGTGAGCGGCGGCAATGCTTGGCGCTTGGCACTTGGACAATGTGCACTGGGAGGAGCTGTGTTTGGTTTATTCGTGAGCGAGATCCGAGTCACGAGGTGCGGATGTGCAAGAGCTTGCTTGCTGAAGTCCGTGAGGGCGCGATATACTCACTCACCGCATCGCATCGCAGTTGTGATTGCATAACTTTCGTGTTTATTGCTCAACAGGCGGCACATGCGGAGATTGGGTTTACTCCACCGCACCGCATTGCACGGCTTGCAGTCATGCCGCCTGGCGCCGCGGCGCGAATGGAGGCGACGGGAGGGGCATGGGAGCGCCGAGGCATGCGCGGGGGCAGCGCTCAGGGCTACGGGACGCTTTTTGCCCGACGTCACTGACGCTTTAGTCCTGGCAGGACTGGAAAAAATATCTGTGCGTCTCAGGGGCCGGCCAAGGTGGGTCCAACGAATCGCCTGAGATGTAGCCCTCTGTCGCGTTTGCCCCTGATGTCGATGCATCTGGCGCTCACCCCACTGATGACGGATCCAGCGCCCCTCGCAAGCTACTAGGCCCGTCGCAACTCTCGTCTCGTCACGCAAGCAGCTTCCCCGTCCCACCTGAGCACATTCCGCTCCTCAATAGTATTGTGTCTATTCCATGTGCGCACAGGATTTTTTGCCCCTTGCCAAAAGCACTGCTCTGTGTATACTTCCCAAATGCGGCGTCGTGACTCCGAGTCAGTATCGAAAGTATCGGCGGCGCCCCGGGGATGCGTAAACACCTGAAGGGGAAAGCAGAACCTATCCAGTGGCCTACCCGAGCGCAACAGAAGGATAGTACATGAAACCGTGCACACAAAATAGGGTTCTCACTCATCTCTCATGTCCCACATGCGCGTATTCTGTGCATCAAATTGGCTTGCCCACCCAAAACCTAGGCTTCGCCAGAAGCATTTCCGGTACACAATTCAGCCTACATTAATCATATGACTTGTAGAAAGGTTCCAATCTCCTACTCGAAAGACTAGGATGCAATGCCAAGCCAAACCGAGCGCATCTAGCCCCCCCGAGACCTGGAAGGATATCATGGCACCTGAGGCCGCCGTCACTACCGGATCGTATTCTGAAAGCCTCCATAGGAACGAATCACGAAATCCAAATCAACATGGCGCTGCTCCTTTCTCCTTCCTCTTTCCTCTTCCCTCATACCTCCTGAATGGAAACTCGTGCTACGCCGAATCGCGCGGAGTAGCAAAGAATATGTTTTCTCGTTCTGCAATGCCCCTGTTCTGTGGTAGTAGTCTCGGCAAGCAGCCAGCTCAGAGGAGCCGCTGTCGGATGACATAAGCTCGCGAGCACCGGCGTTTAAAGTAGCTGATAGTCTTATTCCTTTCCTTCGTTTGAACCCATTCCTGTAGAGGTTCAGTGCCGTGACTCGCACCGCCAACCACAAAGAAAGTTCGGGACCCAATTGTCAAACATACATGTTATAGCCTCTTTAGGCTGTAGTGGGTTAGACCTTAGGGGGTACAGTTTCCTAGGGTTTCATATTTGTACCCATCTCATTTCCTAGTCAATCCATTCCTCGTATTATTCTCACATGGTATAGAGCGGGTTCCCTAGTGGGACCGTTTTTTTTAAGGGCCCACCACTACGACTTGTTTTTTCCTTACCTGCCCGAAGCGCGCTTCGCGCCTGCCCTTAATCGCCCCGTCGCGCCCTGTAACGGCCCCTTCGAGGCCTCTTTGCGCCCTTCGCGGCCCCTCTCACGGCCCTTCGCAGCCCCTTCGCGGCCCTTCGCGGCCCCTCTCGCGGCCCTTCGCGGCCCCTTCGCGGCCCTTCGCGGCCCCTCTCGCGGCCCTTCGCGGCCCCCTCGCCGCCCTTCGCGGCCCCTTCGTGGCCCTTCGCGGCCCCCTCACGGCTCTTCGCGGCCCCTTTGCGGCCCTTCGCGGCCCCCCTTCGCGGCCCTTCGCGGCTCTTCGCCGCCCCGTCGTCACCGCCCCTGCCGCCACTGTCGCGGCCACCTACCCTGCAGCAGCTGCCGTCGCCCCTGCTGCCGCCGTAGCGGCCCTGCTGCCGCTGCCGAACCTGCAGCCACCCTACCGGCCCTGCTGTCCCGGCCCTGCCCTGCCGCCTCTCCGCGGCCCCTTTACTCTGCTGACGCGCCCCGGCCCTCCGCTCCCTCCACTGGTAAGCGCACCGCCACACCCGCGCGCTGATGCGCCCGCGCCGCCCTGCCGAGCCGCACCGCCCTGCCGAGCCGCGCCGCCCTGCCGAGCCGCGCCGCCCTGCCAAGTCGCGCTGCTACTGCTGCTGCTGCTACTGCTCCTGCTGCTATGGCCAACCCTAACGTCCTCACCTTCAATGCTGAGGGACGAGCGGTCGATTTTGAGGTTTGGGTCGATGATCTGCAGCTGTTACTGCAGTGCGATAGCAAGGATGGAGTCTCACTCTTTGACCTCACTTCTGGCGCCTCTGCTGCACCTGCCGCTGATGCTGCCAGTACTGTTCGCTCACAGTGGACCACGCGCGATGCTGCTGCCTGTCTTGCTGTCCGTAGTCACCTGCCGTCTGCTGAGCGCGCGCACTTTAGCCAGTACAAGTCTGCTAGCACTCTGTACGCTGCTGTTGTTGCGCGCTACTCCTCCCCTGCCACTGCTGCCCTTAGCCGCCTCATGCTGCCGTACCTGTTCCCTGACCTAGCCGCTTTTGCCACAGTCGCTGACCTCATTACGCACCTCTGCACTAGTGACACCCGCTACCGCGCTGCGCTTCCTACCGAGTTCTGCGCCAAGACCCCCCCCCCCCCCTATGTACATCACTCTCTACTACCTCGTCACCCGGCTCCCTGACTCCCTTTGCTCGGTCAGGGACCACTTCCTCTCCCTTTGCCCCACCACGCTCATCGTTGACCTCCTCGAGGAGCGCCTCCTTGCAGCTGAGAAGATTATAGTCGCTGTAGGAGCCTTTCGTGGTGACCCTTGTGCCCCTTTCTTTGAGGGGTGCTCCCCCGTCCCCCTTTTGCCCTCTGTTGCCTCTGCTGCTGCTGTCGACCTCGTTGGCACCGAGTCGGTCGGCGCTGCGTCTGCTCCTAGTGGGAGGCGCCGCAACGGCAAGGGCAAGGGGGGCAAGGGGGGTGGAGGGGATGGCGGGGACGGCGGTAGTGGAGGTGGAGGAGGCGGAGGGGGTGGGGGTGGAGGTGGGAGTGGTGGCGGGAGTGGGGGCTTCGGTGGCGGCGGTGGAGGTGGAGGTGGCGGAGGTAGCGGGAGTGGGGGTGGAGGTGGCGGCGGCGGCGGAGGAGGTGGGGGTGGCGGGGGTGGTGGTGGGCAGCGGGGAGGCTCTAGCAGTGGCCAGCGCCAGCAGCAGCAGCGCTCCCGTGAGACCCCGTCGCCTCAGCAGCTTCGTGAGTGGTACGCTGGGCGTTGGAGGTCTGGGGGTGCTGGTCCCTGCACCTACGTTCTTCGCATCGGCGACCGCAGTGGAGAGACGTGCGGAGGCCCGCACACCACACCACGCTGCTTCGGCTGCCTGACTGACGCCTGGCGTACTCAGTTCCCTGGCTCCTCTGAGAT